GGCTAAGCGATAAAATCGGCAGGGCAGCGCTGACGACACCTTTTTGTGCAAACTGCGTGACCGTAGTGTGTGTGTGCGAGCACGTGTGGTTGCAGTAATTCCTGTGTGCTGTATAGGTACTGTATGCTAATTTCCGTTATTACAGTTAACTATGCGAAGTGATATGGAACTGTAATGCGGTCAAGAGAGCTGCCTGGAACTACGTTCGCCGTGCGTTTCCCTGAAAATAATTGCACACCTCAGAACGTTCGTCAGCCAATCAGATTCAAGCATTCAACGGCCCCGTAGTATAAAAATAATCATATGAGCCATTAAACTGTATTTTAGCGTCTGGTCTTCATCTGTGTTTCAGAGCTCTGAGCTGGAGCGGGATGACAGCGGAGGCTGTTCCACACAGAAACAGAAGATCTCCTTTCTCGAGAACAACCTGGAACAGCTCACAAAAGTTCACAAACAGGTCAATAATCAGATCCTCAAACCCTGTAGAAACTAATAATGCAATGTTAGTTGTATTATAACACCCTCATTTACATGTAAGGATGTAGGAGAGACATACAGCCAAACCAAAAATTATTCAGACACCAGATATTTTATTTACTAGTGGGTGAAGGACACTATATTCATTTATGTAAGTGAGGATAAATAAAGTCAACTGTGATATATTATACACAAAAATTCTTCATACGGTGGACTACCAGTAAAAATTGACACTTTGACCTGACTACTTTGCTTAAGTGTTTTTCTTTAATTGCTAATGCGACCTTTTTACACCACAGACTGAACTAAATGAAGCATTGCTTGGTAATTGGTTGAGCTAAATCAGTGTTATCTAATTGTGCGCTTACAGTTTTTTTCAACCGCTTTCACACTTTTTCAAAACTTTGCCTCTTTTTTCAAAACTTTACACACAAATCCAAGAATTGCACGCACAAAATGCAAAATGCCTCGCATCTCTTGCAAAACGAAGCATTGCATTCAAAATATCACAAACATTTGCAAACACCTTTGCCATAATAATAATTCCTGTTAGATTTAAGTGTGTTACTTACATAAAGAATTGTGTGTTGTGTTTTGCAAAAAGTGTTTTATGAAGTTGAAAAGTCAAATGACGAGAATTAGCGTATGGTTTTGCAGATTTGGTGTGTGCTTCTGCTTTCAGAAATTGTGTGAAAGTAAAGCTTTTATGTGTAAGCAGTTTAAAAAACTGACAGCTATTCAACCGAATCCATTACATACCTTCCTATCAAAGGTATCTGACATTATCAAGATGAATTAGTTCTTCTCATATTTTATTACCATTTTCTAAACTATAGCCAATAAACTGTGATAATGTGAGAAATGTTGAAGGTGTCTGAATAGATTTTGGTTTGACTGTATATGATATATATGTTCATGGCCTGATTGAGCAGGATTTCGTGTCTCTCAGCTGGTTCGTGATAATGCAGATCTGCGCTGCGAGCTTCCGAAGCTGGAGAAGCGTCTTCGCTCCACGGCGGATCGGGTTCGAGCGCTGGAGGACGCGCTGACAGAAGCCAAAGAAGGAGCTATGAAGGACCGCCGGCGCTACCAGCAGGAGGTCGAGCGAATCAAAGATGCCATGAGAGCCAGAAACGGCTTCAGACGGCCTCACGCTGCGCTCATCGGTCATTAGTCTCTACTGGACGATTAAACCAATGAATCTCAAGCATCATCTCTGTTATTACTCTGCATGAGATGAAGCAGCTTTCATTTGTGTAGTATTTTATTAACTATGTTTTCCAAAAATAGCCATTATCACATTACAATATGTGACTCTGCAGCACAAAAGCAGTCTTAAGTCGCTGGGGTATATTTGTAGCAATAGCCAACAATACATTGTATGGGTCAAAATTATCCATTTTTCTTTTATGCCAAAAATCATTAGGATATTAAGTAAAGATCATGTTCCATGAAGTTATTTAGTAAATTTCCTACCGTAAATATATCAAAACTTAATTTTTGATTAGTAATATGCATTGCTAAGAACTTCATTTGAACAACTTTAAAGATGATTTTCTCAATATTTTGATTTTTTTGCACCCTCAGATTCCAGATTTTCATATATAGTTGTATCTCAGCCAAATATTGTCCTATCCTAACAAACCATACATCAATGGAAAGATTATTTATTCAGCTTTCAGATGATGCATAAATCCCAATTTCAAAAAATTGACCCTTATGACTGGTTTTGTGCTCCACGGTCACATATATAAACAATTTTTGTTAAATTTCAGCATGTCATGAAATATAAAATTACTATAATATATTGATGATTCCTCATACCATGAAATAAAATATAAAACTAGAAATATAAAAAACCTTGATTAAATTACTAAAAAATATATATATATATATATATTAGTATGATTATTAAATATGATTCTATTGGTAATTATAATGCATTATATATATTGAATAACACATAAATATATAAAAAAAATATAATGATGTTAAAAGTAACATTTTATAAATAATGTATTAAATTATTAACATAATATTATTAACATAAATTATTAACATAATATATACTTAATATTATCATTAATATTAAGATGTATTGAAAATATTACAAACATAATATTATTTAATTTAGAAATAATTTATTAATTTGAATACATGAATAATAAATGCATTAAATATATTTCATAACATATTTATAATATTATAAACAAATGTAATATTTAGTGCTGTCAAACGATTAATCACATCCAAAATAAAAGTTTTTGTTTACTTAATATATATATATATATATATGTGTGTGTGTGTGTGTGATGTGTATATTTATTACTTATATATAAATACACACACATACAGTATATATTTTGAAAATATTTACATGTATATATTTATATTCATATAATTTATATTATATAAATATATTTAATATATAAACATATGAAATATATACATGCATGTGTGTGTATTTATATATACACATAATAAAACTAGTTATAAATCTAATCCTATTATTGTGTAAATAATATATTAAATATAACATTACATATGCTAATTAATACAATAAGTATATTTAATAACATATAATATTATAAATAAATGTTATATTTTAAATGTAATAATAATATTATTAAATATTCTATTTTTCCCCTCAGCCAAACCGATTCGCCCAGGACATTACCCCGCCTCCTTATCCACCAATCACATGTTCACGCGCAGCAGGGATCAGCCAATCACGTTCAGCAATGCCATGTTCAACAGTGCCACTGAAAAACCACTGAAGAAGTGAGCATCAGTGTTTCTGGCTCACCGTTGACTGAATTGTGTGTATTTTTAGCACAGCTGATGTGAAAGATGTGCTTCTGTTTGTCATGTTAACAGGACGCTGTCAGAGGCCACACACAAACTCAACATCACCGACGGTAAACACACTTCTCTGACGAGAGCGCTTTACTTTTATTACCTGAATAAAATCAGCGGTTGCTCTTTCCAGTTTATGGGTCCAAACTGTAAAAAATGGCTGCATGGGACCTGATTGGGACATCCACAGATGCTCATCGCCTAATAAAAAGACTAATTTAGAATTTCACAGTGCAGTAAATGTAAATAAACATGTTTTATACTTGCTACACTTATTTTGAAACATATTCATTCTTATTTCACCAGGAGATGCCACAGATGTGAATGAGAACAGGTGAGCATGAGTGTGTGTGACTGTATAGCACATACTGTAATCATCTGATAATCTAATGATGTTCTGTGCTGTAGTGTGTGTCAGACCATCTCCAGCACAAACACAAGCTTCAAGAGCAGCGCGCCACCTGCTAAACACACAGGTGAACAACAGCACAAGATCTTATATATACCATAGCATTTACATTCTAAAAAACAAACAACAAAAAAACATCCTTTTACTCTTAGTGTTTCCAATGCAAACACTTTCTGTCTATGTATTTTTGTCCTGTTTTCCAGTAGAAATATTGTAATTGTAAGGAAAAAGTCAGAATTGTGAAAAAAAAGTTGCAATTACCTTTTTATGTTTTATTTTGGGGCAAAAAATTATTATTATTTTTTTTAATATCTCACAATTCTATAATTACAAGATTCAAACATAGAATTGCAAGACACAGAACTGTGAGGAAAAAAGTCTGAATTGTGAAATAAAAAGTCGCAATTACCTTTTTATGTTTTATTTTGTGGCAAAAAAATAAAAAATAATAATCGCACAATTCTATAATTACAAGATTTAAACATAGAATTGCAAGACACAGAATTGTGAGGAAAAAAGTCTGAATTGTGAAATAAAAAGTCGCAATTACCTTTTTATGTTTTATTTTGTGGCAAAAAAATAAAAAATAATAATCGCACAATTCTATAATTACAAGATTTAAACATAGAATTGCAAGACACAGAATTGTGAGGAAAAAAGTCTGAATTGTGAAATAAAAAGTCGCAATTACCTTTTTATGTTTTATTTTGTGGCGGAAAAAAAAAACATCTCACAATTCTATTATTACAAGATTTAAACAGAATTGCAAGACACAGAATTACGCAATTACCTTTTTATGTTTTATTTTGTGGCGGAAAAAAAAAACATCTCACAATTCTATTATTACAAGATTTAAACAGAATTGCAAGACACAGAATTACGCAATTACCTTTTTATGTTTTATTTTGTGGCGGAAAAAAAAAACATCTCACAATTCTATTATTACAAGATTTAAACAGAATTGCAAGACACAGAATTACGCAATTACCTTTTTATGTTTTATTTTGTGGCGGAAAAAAAAAACATCTCACAATTCTATTATTACAAGATTTAAACAGAATTGCAAGACACAGAATTACGCAATTACCTTTTTATGTTTTATTTTGTGGCGGAAAAAAAAAACATCTCACAATTCTATTATTACAAGATTTAAACAGAATTGCAAGACACAGAATTACGCAATTACCTTTTTATGTTTTATTTTGTGGCAAAAATTTTTTTTTTAAAAATATCTCACAATTCTATAATTACAAGATTTAAACATAGAATTGCAAGACACAGAATTGTGAGGAAAAAAGTCTGAATTGTGAAATAAAAAGTCGCAATTACCTTTTTATGTTTTATTTTGTGACGAAAAATTTTTTTTTTTAAATATCTCACAATTCTATTATTACAAGATTGAAAGAGAATTGCAAGACACAGAATTACGCAATTACCTTTTTATGTTTTATTTTGTGGCAAAAAAGACTAATTTTTAAAAATATCTCACAATTCTATAATTACAAGATTTAAGCATAGAATTGCAAGACACAGAATTGTGAGCAAAAAAGTCTGAATTGTGAAATAAAAAGTCACAATTACCTTTTTATGTTTTATTTTGTGGTGATTTTTTATTTATTTAAATATCTCAATTATATTATTACAAGATTTAAACAGAATTGCAAGACAGAATTGTGAGGAAAAAGTCTGAATTGTGAAATAAAAAGTCGCAATTACCTTTTTATGTTTTATTTTGTGTTTTAATTTGTGGCAAAAAAAAAAAAATCTCACAATTCTATAATTACAAGATTTAAACATAGAATTGCAAGACAGAATTGTGAGCAAAAAAGTCTGAATTGTGAAATAAAAAGTCGCAATTACATTTTTACGTTTTATTTTGTGTCGAAAAAATAAAAAAAAAAAAAATAAATCTCACAATTCTATAATTACAAGATTTAAACATAGAATTGCAAGACAGAATTGTGAGCAAAAAAGTCTGAATTGTGAAATAAAAAGTCGCAATTACATTTTTACGTTTTATTTTGTGTCGAAAAAAAAAAAAGAAAAAAAAAATCTCACAATTCTATTATTACAAGATTTAAACAGAGTTGCAAGACACAGAATTACGAATTATCTTATGTTTTATTTTGTGGCAAAAAAAACATAAAAAAAAAAAAAATCTCACAATTCTATTATTACAAGATTTAAACAGAGTTGCAAGACACAGAATTACGAATTACCTTATGTTTTATTTTGTGGCAAAAAAAACATAAAAAAAAAAAAAATCTCACAATTCTATTATTACAAGATTTAAACATAGAATTGCAAGACAGAATTGTGATTAAAAAAGTCTGAATTGTGAAATAAAAAGTCGCAATTACTTTTTAATGTTTTATTTTGTGGCAAAAAAAACATTTAAAAAAAAATATCTCACAACTCTATCATTACAAGATTTAAACAGAATTGCAAGACACAGAATTACAAATGACCTTTTTATGTTTTATTTTGTGGCGAAAAAAAAAAAAGAATTGTGAGATAAAAGAGTCACAAATACCTTTTTTTTTTATTATTCTATGGTGGAAACAAGATTCCATACTTAAAATATTAAGTCTTGTTTTCTAACAAACAAAAATAAATAAATAAATAAATAAATAAAATAATAAGTTTATGCTTAAAGCAAGAACAAATATCAACCAATGCAGTCAGACAAATAATTTTGTTTTTCTGGTTTAAGTTGCTTTTTCTGACCCCATTGAAAGATATTTATTGCTTTGAGAATAAACGCACTTCTTTTTTTCAGAAGACAAGACTTAAGACTTTGCTTCTCCTGTAATTGTATCTTGATTTAAGAATAGGTATTTCTACTGGAAAACAAGACAAGAAACTTGGAGAATATTCACCCGTGGTCTTCTTTTCTTCTCTCTCTGCAGGCGATCTGTTCTTCTGAATCCTCCTCTGTATATTTGCATGTTGCCTGCAGATCCAGTGATGAATATGAACCCGTCGGCTCACTCTAATCGGTCATGTAACCTCAGATCCTTCAGCTTTCAGACTCGGAAGAAACGCTTCCACTGAACGACGTCATGAGCAGAAGAGTTTATATATGCCAGGCCAAGCAGTCGTCAGCAAACGGCTCGTTCTCAGAAAACAACAGCATTTCTGCCAGAACATTTCAATAACATTTTCATTTAGCATCGTCTTTGCAAGAGTTTTCAGCAACAAATGTGGGTTTTCAATAAACCATTTTTCACAAGCCTTTATACCAATTACTACCTATATATCACTCTTTTTTAATGTAATAATTATTAGGAATTAGTAAAAACTACACGGACAGTGAAAGAATTTAAATAATTTATTTTAATTTAATTTAATAATTTAAATCAATAAAATTAACCTTAACATGAATTAAAATTAAATAATGAAAAATAAATTACATTAAATTGTGCACAAGTGTTAAAATTAAATTATTAATTTAAATTTACAATTAAATTAAAATGAATAATTTAATTCAATAATTCAATTTAATTTGAATAAGCCTTTATAATGCATTAATAAATGTGGCCAAATTAAACGATTACATCTGATTTTGAATTCAATAAAATAATTTTATTTAATAATTCAATTTAATTTGAATAATCCTATACAATGCATTGATAAATTTGGCCATGCATATTACTACTCCAATGAAAAACAAACATTTAAAATCATAAAATATCAGTTCTTTATACGGTATCAGTAGAAATATATGATAAATGGCAGTGTTTCCTGAGAACGACCCAGAAACAGCGTATGGTGGTGTTAGTCAATGTCGACATTAATGTGATGTTATGATGAAATTCTGTAGCAATTTTTATGTAGCTGTAACTATTTTTATACTCATATTTAAATGACAAAATAGCTTTTGTGGGCCGGTGTGTTTGGTATGCGCTGATTTGTATGCATTATTTATGTTATTATTATCATTGCATAAAGAAAACAACTATTATTTTACCAAATAATAACAAACTCTAGAGAGTCTAGAGAGAGACATTTGACACTAAATATTTAAGTGCAAGTCAGATGATAAAAAACTAAACATATTAACAATTCTAGTAAATTCTAAGTAGATGGGATTGTTACTAGAATCAAGATGCCTCATAAATGCAGTTGAGAAAAACTCAGAAATAAGAAAACGCGTGATCAGACACATCAGTCAGTGTGACCTCTGATCACATGACCTAGGGTCTCTCTGCTTTGAGTCTGACCTTTGACCTCTCTACATATCCTGATCTGCCAGTCAGGATGAGATGGAGTCAGACTACGAGAAAAATGTAGATTTCTATGTAAGGTTCTGTAAGTGATTTTAGCCATTCTGCACCATAAATAAATATATAAATACATTTTAGCATATTTAAAAATTTTATTATATTTAAAAAAAATTTATATATAGGCTTTAATTAAAGTGTTGCATTTTTGTTTGACTTTTCACATCTTAAAAAGTCCATGACTCTATGAAGACTTCATGCAGAGCCGTTTTCTGCCTCTTTTACCATCGCCTTCAGCGTCTGCTGGGACATACAGTTACATAAGATCTCATGCTGGCTTTAAAAGAGATTCTGCGCATCTCAATGTGAATAAGGCTGGTGAGGATCTGTATGTCAGTGCACATGATGAAGGACACAAGGATGTGGGTTAGAATCAGTTTTTTGTGGTTGGTTTTTGTAGTGCATGAAGTACAAACAGGCCTGTCGCAGAACTTGCCATTAAAAACCTTTCAATAAAGAGAATCCAGTCTGTGAACATTTCTGTGAACGTGTTTTTTGAATATAGTTGATCTGTTGCCTAACTTGCTATTAAAAAGTTTCAATAAAGAGAATCCAGTCCATGAACTTGTGTTTTTATTTTATTTTATTGTAAGTATATATAGATGAATACGAGTTGATATAATAATAAATTAAATTAAATTCACAATTAATTGAATTTGATAATGCATTTGTACAATGCATTGATAAATGGGTCCATGCAAATTAGCTGATATTCTGATAAAACAAATATTACAATCATCATAAAATATAAATTCTATTGGAGTTAAATTGTTTAAATTAAATTAATATAAATTAAATAAAAATATAAATACAATTTTAATTAATAAGTTAATTTTATAATGCATTTATACAATGCATCGATGAATGGGGCCATGCAAATTAGCTGATATTCTAATGAAAAAAATATTAAAATCATAATTTTATATATACTGATATATATATATATACTCACTCACTCTCACACTCACTCTCACACTCACACTCACTCACTCACTCTCACACTCACACTCACTCACTCTCACACTCACACTCACTCAC